TAGAGAGGCATATGTTCCCACATCTGTAGAACGAGGACTGAGGCTGTGAGGTGCAGGACCATCATCAATGAGACAAAGGGTGAATAGCAATGAATTGACTACCCATATCATAAAGAGGACAGATGAAGTATGAGAGAAAATTCAATCCATATCCATGCAATGCATTGGGATATACGTCCTTTTGAAGAATAAGTAGCACTGGTTTGAATTTTTGTGCAACAAGGAAGAGAATTTGTTTCAGGACCAGATTGTTACCAATCACAGCGGACCACTGGCCCCCACTTTCTTTAGAAAATCTACAGGTCTCGTACAGACAGCTGAGGTAAACAAGCATCATGGCGGAGGCGAAACTGAAACTTTGTGTGTCTTCGTTACCAGTTACTGCTTACTCGGCGAAACAGCCAAAAGAAAGTCTCGTCCTCCGCGCTTCTCGGTTCTATCATTCTATGGTCACGCCATCCACGTTCAAATATGCGATCCATATTGTGAGACGCGAGCTCCGTACACAACAGCACATGAGCACAGGCTGAGTGGGGGGGAGGTTGAGGAGTGTAGTGGGAGCAAAAGCTTGGTGAGTGCGGGGAGGGGAGCAGAAAGAGCAAGGCTTACATTTGAAATTGCTGTTTCAAAGTCATAAAGTGAGTTAGTCCAGCTTTAACTGTAATAGAATACTATTACTATTTACAAAAGTTTTATTATAATTTGTAATTGAATTGAAAACTTGAGCTGTGTATGAATTCAGGCCGTAAAAAGTGCTGAGTAGAGACTTAAGCCTAGTGTATAGTCGAGCGGCGCGGAGCTTACGGGGGTGACGTGACATCACTTGCGCAACGCGTGGATCACTGCAAGGCCCTTACGTAGCTTGCCGCGCACCCTCGAAAATTCGCCGCAAGGAAGCTCCGCTGTGATTGGTCCGTGTGTGTGTATTGGAAGGGAGCACGGAGCGGCTGCAGGAGCATGGATGAGGCATTTCTGAGCAGACTGCTTCGTGCTTCGAAGGAACCGAAGGAAAAGTAGTTTGGGCTCAGGGCAGAGCCTGATCTACGTGGAGACTGTGGACTAGAGTTCTGTGGCATATCTAACTTATATATAACTTATATCTAACATATAACTTATAAACTGTGCAGTCGTTTGTTTTGCACTGGTCCTGTCTTGTTTGAATCGTAGTTTATTGTGTCTGTTGCATTCCTCCTAAATAGTAAATAGTTCATATTTGTCTCAGATACAGTATTTACCTTATTGTTTTCCTGTTTGTGCTGAATACACTTTAATGATAACTATGTTTCCAACAAGAACTGTGTCTTTGTTCACAGCATCACAGTTGAGTGAGTTGAAACGATGAGTCCATAGAACTATCGCATAAACCTACAGTAGAAACACATGTAATGCTCTCAAACAGCTTCGCTATTGTTTTTGTTCTGAAGATTAGGAAGTAGCAGCACAAATGGGACCGCTTTGGTTTGCGGTTACGTAGGTCCAACGTAACCGCAACCGTAAGCAGCGCCGCGCGGGTGTACACAGGCCTTTGGTGTGACGCTCGTTCTTCTCCACTCACAGAACGAGGCTGCGTCCTCTAGCCTCTACAGCTCTGGTAAACACAGTAGTATGTTAGCAGAATTGGCTATAACTCCTCTTGCTGTAACTGCAGACAGCAAAACAGCCCGAACGACACAACAGTGAGGAAGAGAAGAGGGAACTAAAGTGAAAATATGATCAGAGAAGAAATCACTCCTCTGGAGAGACTTGTCTGGAAGAGACCTGCGGGACCGCCTCGGACTATCTATGCTCGGACTACATTCGGACGTGAAACTAGCGGTAATCTTTATTATATATTTTGTTATATATTTTGTTAGCAGTGTGTTGCTTTTGTACCATTTCATCAGTGATTGTTGTACAGCTTACAAGAAGCTGCGCTCATGCTAATGTTTGCACATAGATCGCAAATAAAACTAGATGGCTCCGTGAAATGAGATAAGATAAACCTTTATTAGTCTCACAGAGATAGTGAGAGCGTAGGGGAAATGAGAAGCCTGTGAGCGAGTTGAAGGACGGTGCTAAACATTCAAACCTTGCAGAAACGGTTATAGCTCCTTTAACTGTAATAGAATACTATACCTAAGACCTATTTGAACGGGATTAGTTTTACCTGTGGACCCCTGGTAATTAGTGATAATCACGGAGGACGTCAGAGATCTTAGTCCGGTGCAAATGCGCCATGTCTGTAATTTGTAAAGTAATAATTCTGCCACAAATTATCTCCTGATTTGTCCAAACACAGACGTCCTGTGATAATAATCCTGTGCGAATCTGCATGTCAGTGATTGTGATCGCTATTATCGCTTTTGCTTTACTTTCTGCGTTATTTTTTGTCAATGAGCAGAGGAGTAGCGTATCGCGGCTGCGTACACCTGCGGAGTGGAGGCTGCTGCTGTCTCTGTGAGGTTTATGGAGAAGTGTAGAGGACAGTGTATTGTGTTCACTGACACTAAATGATCAGACCGATGGGTTGCGTTTGTACGTTTACTTTGTCACTCTGTCCTAATACAGTACAGACGTGTTTATTCAGCCGTTACTGGGCCGTTACTATTTGTCGGCTAGGGCGTATGTTAGCTGAGTATCTGGTGCGTTCACGGGTAGTCCGCACAAACAGTATTGTTAAACATCACAGACACATTTATGTGTTTGTCCTCGTGGTCTCTGTGGCTGCTGTGGTCAGAGTCTCCATGGGCTGCCGTTATGTGAGATGTCAGTGAAAATTACAGACTTTACGTATCCTGTGTGAATGCATTGCAAGATCTCAGACGTCCTCCGCAATTATCACTAATTACCAGGGGTCCACAGGTAATACTAATCCCGTGCAATAGGGCTATGACGGTAAAAGAATTCTATGCTTAATTGTAATAGAAGCCTTAACAGATAATAGTCCTTAATAATAGAATACATTAATAAGGACAGGAGTCTGTGCTGTTGGACTATTTGAGGTTGTAAAAGGACTCCATGGAATGTGGTGTTGAGGACCACACACAAAGGGCTAAAGTTATTTTTGTAAAGTCCTTTAAAGCCGGACTTCCCGTGGCGAACTGTCCACTGCCATTTTAATGGACACACATTATGCTCCATCCACATTAATGTCATGAATGTCTGCCACAGACAGACCCTCATGTCCAAATGTGTCTTCATCAATGTAGTCCCAACAAAGTCATGAACAAAGCTTTTTTTTCTGATTTTCCAATCAAAAGTATTGTCTACTTTTGGAACTTTTTCCAGTCAAAGGAAGCTCTTGACCTGGTATACAGGACTCTTCCATTGTGTGCCTAATACTTCTAATTCTTTGTTTTTGAACTGTTGGATTTTCTGTTGGTGATTTCACAGTTTTGTCAAGTCCTTTGAGATAACTGTTGTGATTTAGGGTTATACAACAATACATGTAATTGAGTTTGTACAGTCCCTTCAAAAAGTACAAGTGGGACTACTTTATGTATCCACTACAGCCATTTATTTGAACTTACTTTAAAAAAAAAAAACATATATACAGTGGGGCAAAAAAGTATTTAGTCAGCCACAGTTCTCCCGCTTAAAATAATGACAGAGGTCTGTAATTTTCATCATAGGTACACTTCAACTGTGAGAAAAAATCCAGGAATTCACATTGTAGGATTTATTAAGAATTTATTTGTAAATTATGGTGGAAAAAAAAGTATTTGGTCACTTCAAACAAGGAACATCTCTGGATCTCACAGACCTGTAACTTCTTCTTTAAGAAGCTCTTCTGTCCTCCACTTGTTACCTGTATTAATGGCACCTGTTTGAACTGGTTATCTGTATAAAAGATAGCCCAAAACGATATTTCAACCACTGATAATCTCCATCGATCTGGGGCTCCACGCAAGATCTCATTCAGTGGGGTCAAAATGATCATGAGAACGGTGATCATTAATCCCAGAACCACACGGGGGGACCTGGTGAATGACCTGCAGAGAGCTGGGACCAAAGTAACAAAGGTTACCATCAGTAACACACTACGACGACAGGGAATCAAATCCTGCAGTGCCAGACGTGTCCCCCTGCTGAAGCCAGTGCATGTCCAGGCCCGTCTGAAGTTTGCCAGAGAGCACATGGATGATACAGCAGAGGATTGGGAGAATGTCATGTGGTCAGATGAAACCAAAGTAGAATTGTTTGGTATAAACTTAACTCGTCGTGTTTGGAGGAAGAAGAATACTGAGTTGCATCCCAAGAACACTATATCTACTGTGAAGCATGGGGGTGGAAACGTCATGCTTTGGGGCTGTTTTTCTGCTAAGGGGACAGGAAGACTGATCCGTGTTAAGGAAAGAATGAATGGGGCCATGTATCGTGAGATTTTGAGCCAAAACCTCCTTCCATTGACTTGAATTTGTGTTATTGACCAAATACTTATTTTCCACCATAATTTACAAACAAATTCTTTAAATATCCTACAATGTGAATTCCTGGATTTTTTTTTTTTCACATTTGTCTCTCACAGTTGAAGTGTACCTACGATGGAAATTACAGACTTCTGTCATTATTTTAAGTGGGAGAACTTGCACAATCGGTGGCTGACTAAATTATTTTTTGCCCCACTGTATATATGCTTCTTGTGTGCTCTTACTACTGTCCTGTGTACTGCAACACTGAACTGTCCCCACTGTGTAAGAAAGGATCTTGTATCATATTCTGACTCACAGGCCTGCGTCACTCTGTGTGGAAAGATAATCTATTTTTGGGAGGAATCCTCGTTGTGTTTTTGCTCAGTGTGAATGCGCCTCTAGCAGCGTGGCAGTGGGCAGCGGCCTGTTGTAATCTGCGCGTGGGAACTCCCGTGCGTCAAATTCCATCATGTGGAGTTGGAGGGGGTTTCCCGGATGACCCCTGGTGAACAGATGTCCGTGCGTGTGCTGTGTCAGGGCGTGCACGGCTCCAGCCTGTCCTGAAAAACTCCACCTCCCGCTGCCTGGATGAGCGCGGCGTGAGTCCTCATGGGGAAGTGTGGGTGCTTCCCTTTACTCAAACTCGTCAAAACTTTCAGGAGGAGCCGTTTACTGAAGAAAGCGGTGATCGTGGCTTCTGTCTGTGCGCTGTACTTGGTTTTAGTGGCTGGGTTTAGTTCCAGAAACGCAGCAGGGGCAGCGGGGGCGCAGGAGGAACACCCTGGACACACGCGCGGACCGGCCCTGCGTAAAAAGGACCCTGAAGCGCTGCCAGCCGCTGCTCCAACCCGCTCCAACGTGGTCTACATTACGCTGAAGGCGAAAAGGCTCCAGGCCGCGGGTGTAGGAGCCACTGTCAGGCCGCAGCTGAGAAGAAGGCAGCATGCGAAGACCCAGACGGAGCCTTTTACGCGTGACTTCTTGGAGCGAGAGGTGAACCGAACCTTTGCGGACGCTGTCCTGCCCGCGTCCCAGAGCCATGACGTGGAGGTGGAACGCGTAGGAACCCGTGACAGCGTGAGCTCCATCCGCATCTACAGCCAGAAGCCCCCGCCATGGTTAACTCCGGCGGACGTCTACGCCATGCGCTTTCTGGCCGACGCAAAGGTTTTACGCGTGGGTGAAGTTGCGCGCGGGTCTCTGTTGGTGTTTAGTGATGGTGGAGCGGCTCCAGGGCGCACGCAGCGGGGTGATGCGGTGTGTCAAGGCCGGTGTGGGCTCCTGCTCAGCTCCGCAGACTCTGCAGAGGTCCTGGCCTTTCATCTGGACAGAGTGCTGCTCCTCAACAGGACGCTCCCCACGGTCTGCAGGACGGTCGCCTTTGCACGCGGTGAGTGGTTCATGTGATTGGCATGGCAAGGTTATTTGTATAGCACAGTTCATACACAAGGCAACTCAAATTGCAAGATAGAAACAATCTCACAGGGCAATTAAATCATAAATAATCAACCTATAAAGTAAAGATACAATCCTTCAGTTGTAGCAGAGCTAACCAGAACTGTCTTTACCTGATTTGAAAACTTTCAGAGAAGAAGCCCGTCTCAAACTTTCAGGAAGACTGTTCTAGAATTCAGCTGCATAAATCTACAATGCATGATTTAAAAAATCACCAAGATTGATTGATTGATTCATTTGAGCAGAAATTATACATTCAAAAGTATTAACAATATTCATACTTCAATGGTTTTGTAAAGTCCTCCAAGATTCCTTCTGTTGTGATTTAGGGCTGTACAAGAATAAATGGAATTTAATTACAATATTTCCATTCCTTAGTTTTGTGGAGATACTTACGTACATTGTTTGTTTCATGATACCTAAATTTCATTTCAAGAGATTTTCTACCCCTTTATTAATCCATTTCTGGGTTTGGGGAGGTGGCAATCAGAGCTGTCACCCAAGTCTCATAGCACCAGTCCTTCGCTGATCCTCCGCAGGAGATGGGTCCACGGGATGATGTCTTCTCCGTGATCAAATACATGGCCTTGGTCTTTCAGCTGGGACTTCAGACAATGTGGGGTTAAGTGTCTTGCCCAGGGACACAACGGCAGCAGACATCAGTGGGAGCAGATGACATGGGTTGTGGTGGGATCGAACCCACAACCATTAAAAGACCAGTGCTCAACCAACTGAGCTACTGAGCTAGATGGTTCAATATGAGCTTGACATTTTATGTGGATGTGAAATATTGGGGTAAAGAGGTTCCATAGCGTTCTTGTTTCATAAATAAGTGCTGAGACTAACTGTAGCAACAGATAGAAGTAAAACCAGATCACAACTTCATCCTATTATAAAATATGTTTTCCTTTGCATAGTTATAAGAAAGAGCCCCAGTTTTAAGAAAGCCCTGGGAGTCACGATTTGACTCTTTGGGCTGAGAGCTGTGAAAGTGGTTCTCTCTTTTTCACTTTTCTGTCTGGAAATGCTGATCCAAAAATACACTTGGAAACTAGTGATAGAATCAAACTGTTTTAGAGTCAGGAATAAGTGAAACAGATTCAGAATTAATCGCATTAAGAGATGAGTAGAATGAGCTGCACTTTCACAAAGTTGTGGCAATGACATAATGTACATCTAGATCTGGATTTGAGAAGCAGAAAACAGCTCTGGCCTTGACGTCAAAGTTTGAGGATTTGAACACACAGTCATACACAGGCACACACACACACACACACTAACACAGTCATACACAGGCACGCACACACACACACACTAACACAGTCATACACAGGCACGCACACTCACACTTTTGCTGATTATTTAGGCCTAAAGTTTTCCTGGAATGACATTTAATGTGACATTAAAACAACATAAGGAGAAAAAGTGTAAAATGCCATCAATGGATTCAGATCTGCAAAAGTTATGTTCTTATCTGTCAACCATGAAATAGTCAATAATTAAATAAAATTGACGTGACATGGGAAAGTTTGAGAATACTTCAGAATACTCATGGGGGAAAAGTCAAAACACAAATATCTAATCATGTCACAGATGGCAGCAAGAGATTTAAAACCAACTCCTACATAATCTTGGCTTTCTCGTCAAACATCTTCAATTACAGGTCATGAAGTCAAAGAAAAGGCAATAATTAGCTCTGAAGGTTGCTGTCAGTGCCTGATGAGTGTCTGCCCACACACAGTCATACACGCACATATACACACACAACCACACACAACCACCCACACCCACACACACACACACACAGTCAGCATGCAGGATGTATCACTCTAACATAAGTTTAAACAGTTTGATTAGCCGCAAAAAGCCGTTCGTAGGTTGAGGACACATTATACATCTGACAACTCCTCCTCTCTTTCCTCCTCTTTTTCCTCCCCTTTTTCCTTCTCTTTTTCCTCCTCGTTGCACCGTCAGTTATTTACAAAGACCAATGACCAAAGCCGCTGCACAAAGTTGACTTTATCTACTTCCTGCAGCGTTTGTCGGCGTGTGCCAGAGAGAAACAATCTGCTCAAGGAAAGTTTATTTGTATAGCACAGTTCATACAGAAGGCAACTCAAGTGTTCAACAAAACAAGATACAAACAATCACACAAGGATTAAAATGATGAATAACCACAGTGCATTGAAAAGAGTAAAGAAGAAATCCCTCAGGAGAAATGTTATAACCTGAATTTCAACATTGTCAGATAAGAAGCCTGTCTCATATTTTCAAGAAGACTGTTCCAGATTTTAGCTGCATAAATATGAAATGCTGCATTCCCATGTGTAATTCTGTCTCAGAGTCCCGGCAGCAGGCCAGTCCCTGTGCTCCTCAGAGTTCCAGCAGGAGGCCAGTCCCTGTGCTCCTCAGAGTTCCAGCAGGAGACCAGTACCTGTGCTCTACATAAATCATTATTGGACAATTATTGAAATTCAAGTGTGTAGATTGTGTGAAAAGCAGAGAACAGTTGTCTGAATGTTGTCCCTGTGTGTGTCTCCCTCAGACAGCTGTGTGGTGCAGCTGTGGGACACCTCTCCTCTGTCCCCTGTGCGTCTCACATGGTCTCAGTACCAGCTGTCACTCAAACACAGCTGCTGGCTCCAGGGCCACGCCCCTGTGCTCTGCTCCAGTGTCCACCATCACGAGTGGAGCCGTCTGGCCCTGTTCGATTTCCTGCTGCAGGTAAAACACAGAAAAACAACACTCTCTTTCTAACACACACAAAACACACAGACAACAAACATTTGAGAGTACAGACAATACACTCTCTCTCACACACACACAAACACATACAGACATTACACTCTCTCTCTCTCTTACTCACACACACACACACTTCTTTATTCAACAGAAAAGTGAAAAATATAGGACCACTCTCACTCAGCCAATCAGCTCTCAGCCTGAGGTCGGGACATCCAGTCCAATCCTGTCCAGTTCTCCAATCTTATCCAGGAGCCAACGACCCAGATTTTTAACTGTTTTGACTGGATTTGGGACTTTCTGGACTTTAAAATAGTATGATGTGCCCCACACAAACGTCTGTCTCTCCAAATAATGTAAGCTACTGGATTTTGCAGGTTCTGATCATTCTATCTACTGTATATCCAAGAGTTGTAGGGCACGGTCACATGGGTTTTTACAAACTAACTAGACCTATCGGCCCGGATCGCCACAGGGGTGTGAAGATGGCCTGTGGTCACAAGGGTTTATTTTTTTCAACTGTGCCAGACCAACTGTGCTGTAGTACAGCGCACGGTTCAGCTAATGGTACTGTTTTGAATGTTCTGGATACTATTGCCTCTGTGAAGGTTAAAATAGTGAAAAATAATCAGAAGGCGCCGTGGGCTGGAGGGCCGAGCGGAAGTGGCCCAAGTCCAACCTCCAGGTTGATTACAAGATCTTCAAAAATAAGTTGTGCGAGTTTAACCGGGTGCTACGTAGTACGAGAGAAAGGTATTTTTCTGAAATGATTGAAGGCTGCAGCAACAATCTGCGTGTTCTGTTTTCAACAGTTAATAGATTAACAAACCCCCCCTGTTCAAATGCCATTAGAGCTTACTTCCAAACGTAAATGCAATGAGTTTGCTAATTTTTTCAATGACAAGGTTCAAGGCATCAAAAACGCCATTGTCTCCAATCCACAGATAACAATCCAACAGCCAGAAAGGCTCTTTGAGCTAACTCACTTTGCACCTGTAAATGATAAAAATGTCCAAGAGATAATCTCCAGTCTGAGCGCCTCCACATGCAGCTTGGATGTACTACCCACTAGATTTCTGAAGTCTGTTCTGAGCAGTCTGTTACCTTCACTCACACAGATAATAAACATGTCCCTTCATTCTGGAATATTCCCAAAGGCCCTGAAAACTGCAGTCATCAGGCCCCTGCTAAAAAAGAGCAGTCTCGATGCTACGGTACTTAACAACTATCGTCCCATCTCAAATCTGCCATTTATGGGGAAAGTCCTTGAAAAAGTTGTCTACCAACAGCTTACAGGATTTCTTATAATCAACAACTCATTTGATATGTTTCAGTCCGGCTTTAGACCCCACCACAGCACTGAGACTGCTCTCGTTAAGGTTGCAAACAATATCCGGCTGAACATGTTAGATCTAAGTGCTGCCTTTGACACTGTCGACCATGAGATCCTCTTACAGAGACTAGAGGACTGGGTTGGCGTCGCTGGCACCGCCCTAAGTTGGTTTAGGTCTTACTTTGAAGACAGGAAGTATTTTGTGGAGATTGGAAACCGTGTCTCAGATCATATGGCCCTGACCTGTGGAGTACCACAGGGGTCGATCCTGGGACCTCTTCTGTTCAATCTCTACATGCTGCCGTTAGGTCAGTTACTACGCAGAAACAAAGTGTCCTATCATAACTATGCAGACGACACTCAGATCTATGTCTCACTGACTGCAGGAGAACATGGACCAGTGGACTCACTCCTTCAGATTCAGATTCAGATTCATTTATTTGCCATTTGCAGTAAAACCACATTGGAAAAACTGTGCAAGACTACCCCGGTGTGCACCAGACAGAGAAGACGACACACACCAGAGCTCTTGCCTCGGCGCCATCTTTACGGCGCCATGCGACAAACAGTAGAATAAACAGCAGAGAGCAATAACATACAGTTTCAGAGACAGTTGGATAGACACATTTGTGCTTTGTATAAAGCACGGATTTTTTCTCGGGATGAGCACCTCCGACAGCCGGCCAAATGTGGCTGTCAGAGGGGGGCGGGGTCAGGGAGGGGGGTGAGTCGGAAACACAGTGAGGAGTGGAAAGGAGGGAGGGAGCAAGATGGATAGGTAGAGGGAGGTGGGGGGAGCGGGATCCAAGCTGGAGGCTGAAATAGTGTGAGTTGTTGTAGATGGGACCTTTGTTATTGTGGCCTTGGCCGAGGAATGTGAGATAAGAGTGGAGAGAAGGCACAGGAGGAGAAAACACATCGCCTCAGGGGGACAATATTAAATGCAATGTAGCAGTTAAAAGCAGGCAGATATTCTATTAAATCCAATTAAACCGAATTGCGGCGCCCTCAGACCCCGTACACAGGGGCAAATCCAAGCCGGGTCAGAGAGTTCAAGCCTGACACACGATGTCATTCAATCTCAACTCCAGAGTTTTATTCCCTTCGAGTGAACGAGTTGCGAGATCTTTTATCAACTGTTCCACCAGAACCACTCTCCTTCACTGTATCCAACAGATCAGTGAGTGGATGCAAAACAACTTCCTTCAGCTAAACGCAGACAAAACTGAAATGATTGTCTTTGGTCCCCAGAAACAAAGAGAGAGCGTCATCTGTCACCTACAGTCTCTCTCCCTAAAACCTTCAAACAAGGTCAGAAATCTAGGAGTAATACTGGACTCAGACTTAAATTTTAAAAGCCACATCAAAACAATCTTCCTGAAAGTGTGAGACAGGCCATTTCTCTGACAATGTTTAAAACCAGATTAAAACAGTTCAGTTTAGCTGCGGATACAACAGAGGGATTATATATTTGTATCTTTCTTTTTAGTGTTCAGTGATTATTTAGGATTCTAATGCTTTCTTATTTTGTTCAGCACTTTGAGTATAAATTGTCTTAAACAAATAAACGTGCCTTGCCTTGCCTAACACCAACTTCAGTGACTACCTCGTTGGCAGAGCTAAGTTTCCGTCTCTCTTCCTGTTTACATTCTGCTACTGTGTGCCACGGACACGGGAGTGCGTCTCGGAGTCAAGAGCGGAAGCGCTTGGATTGATGGATGACTTCTGGATGGGAGCGGATACCTCTACACACAACACATGATTATTTCTGAAAGCTGCTCTGGATGGATCACTCTTGGATGGAGAGTTGGTGAAGTGCATCATCAGTGCGAGACGTCTCCTGGATGTGGGAGAAGAATGTGGCGCCCCGGGACACATGTTGGTGCAGAGGACGGTGGCTCTCCCTCTCAGGGCCGTGTTTGATGAATCCTTTCCTATTTGTGGCTTCCTCTTGTGTCCAGAGACAATTTCACCATGAGACACGATAGCAGCGCATTAGGCCCATAGACTAATGCCTTGATTCTACAATATCTTTCAAGTTCTTTGTTCTGCAGAAAATAAGAAATAGGAGTACGTCAGAACAGAGGAGTGGCTCCGTTGTCTTTTCAGTTCTGGTGCACATGGAGTTTGGAACACATGCCACAGCTTGGACCCCCCTCATAAACCTTTGTGCTGAATGAATACAGTAAAATTATTCAAAGATATTTTAATGACTTTATTCTTCTTTATTATGCTAAAGTCAGAGATTTTATACTTAATTCTCTCTTCTTCATAAGTCAGAGCTGTACCCAATTCACTGAGCACCAGTATTAACAATGATGATAATAATAATAGAAATAATAGAAATAATAATGAAGATTTGTCAAAAGGATTGAGCCCAAATGCTTATGACGAGTTAACAGGATTTATTGACAGAAGTAATGTGACACCATTCTGTGGGAAACACTATGTTCTACTTCTACTTATTTTCTACTTGAATCATTTCACATTCAAAACCGTGAAAGGCCAAAGTAAATGGCCAGGGAAGTTTATTTGTATAGCACAGTTCACACACAAGGCAACTCAAAGTGCTGTACGAAAAAAGACAGAAACTAAGCAATCACACAAGGCATTAAAATCATACATAATCACAGCACATTATAATAAGATCAAATCCCTCAGTTGTATGCAGCTAAACTGAACTGTTTTAACCTGGATTTGAACATTGTCTGAGAACTTTTTCAGGAAGACTGTTCCAGATTTTAGCTGCGTAAATTTGAAATGCAGCCTCTCCATGTTTAGTTCTGACCCTGGGCACTAACAGGAGTCCAGTCCCTGTGCTCCTCAGAGTCCGGGCTGGTTCATATGGGACTAACATGTCACTAATATATTTTGGTGCGAGGCCATGGAGAGACTTGTACACAAGCAGAGCTGTTAGAAAGTCTATTCTCTGAGCCACAGGAAGCCAGTGCAGAGACCTGAGAACTGGACTAATGTGATCTTACTTCCTGGATGTAGTCAGGACTCGAACTGCAGCTGTTTTAAATGCTCTCAAGATCATGATTAAAGATTAAAGTGAAGACACATACATCTCAAACGTAAACAGGATTAAGGAAGTGTGTTTGTTGCCAGATCCACCGGCGCCTGGACCCAGGCTGCTGTGGCTTCAGGCCCCAGCCCCAGGATGAGTGCAGCCCCTCAGGGTGTGTGGGGGAGAGGGACCTGCTCCTGGGACATCTGCACCACAGGACAGAGGCACCACGACAGCTTATCTTCACCCACAACCACGGAGACTTCACCCGCCAGCTCCACAACCTGGACTTCAGGCTGCTGGAGGGAATTACACAGTAAGTGTCCGCACAAGTTACACTATCACACCATTGTCACATGACGCCAGAGAAGACAGGACGGACCATGAGAAAACATGAAACAATAGGAGAGAACATGAGAGACAGGACTGGACACAGTGGTTTCATTCCCCGTTTCCATGTAGCATAATTAAAGTGATAGTCTGTAGTTTGTCAGAATAAAGAGAGAGAGGTACATGATTTGAAAAAAACACCCAAGCTCCCTCCCCTGATTGGTCTTGAAGCCACGCCTACTTTTCCGTGCACGCGCCAGGTCAATGGTCCAAGACGTGCGGAGGAGAGATTACTAATTTAAATATTCTAATGTATAATCATAATTTGTGATACAGTTCCAGTTCACAGCAGCAGTAGAACGCTCCAGTGATTTGAATGTAATTTCAAAACGTTATACTGATCATTACTTCTCGATAACAGACTCTCAAACCAATAATGACCGCTGCCCTTTGGCAACGCACTCTGTGCTCGTACTTCAGGTGTGGAAAATACTAAGATTACTCCCACAGTAGCCTGGTCGTACCACACCATAGTATAAATTACATTTCGTACTAAGGTCTGGATGTGCTCCATCAAGCTCCGTTAACCTTTTGCAGATTGAAACGATTGGATCTGAGTTTACTGTGACGTATGTAGTGCGCCCGAGTGAGTCGTTAGCATTTAGCCTAGCCATCTCCTTTGCCGCTAACGGAGCCCGTGGGCGCCACCATTTTCTTCCAGCGATTACATTTGCTTAACATTGCTCTTGCGCCGGCTTCAATTTCTTGATAGAACCAGACCGGATTACTTTACTATCGCATTTTTTGCCATTGCCAAACTACAACCTGCCTGTTCGACGCAAACTCTTGACATCACCCACAACTAACTACAACACCCGCCTTCCGCGCTCTCTGAATGGTCGGTCGAAATTCAACCGATTGTATTCGCTAACACAGGGACTAGACCCAGACGTTACATGCAAGAAATGATGATTTAGTTGAGTGTACGGATGGCTAAGGCCAGGCTACTCCCACAGTAGTTCGTACACTTTGTCACAACGGGTTTCCAGTGCCTGTCACTTATTACTTCTGTCTGAGTGAGAGAAGCTATCGAAACTAGCCACGCCCAATAACACACACATCAATCAATCAACACATTTAAATGTTAATCGGAGAATACATTATGCATATACATTCTTATCACACGTGCACGGAGGCTTTCAGAATGATCTGTTAACGTTTTCATGACAAAATTACTGTTTTAATGCGCCAAAAAGCGATTGCTGTTAACCCGGAAGTAACTATTAACATTAGTAGAACATTATAGGACACATTTGAAAAGGATCTGATTATGGATTTAGATTAAGTTTATATTTGGGTCACAGACACACACACACACACACACACACACTATACTGTAGTACTGCAGCTGTGTATTGTGTGTTGTACATTAGTGTGTTTGTGTTGTGTGTTGTGAATCAGTGTGTTGTGAATCAGTGTGAGTGTGGTGCCTGCAGCTGTGGACGCCTGCTGCCTCCTGATGAGTCTAAACTCCTGCTCAGTCTGATCAATGCGCTGCTCATTCTTCTGTTGTGGCATTTGACTGAACTTTAAAGCACACTATCTGCGATCCCGCTGCGCAGGGATTGAGCCATTACAGCGTCTGGCAGCGACACCTCTCACTGAACAGCGCTTTGTAGATACCACACTTTTCTTTATCGTGTCGTCTTTAGAAGAACAGACATCTGACATTCAGCGCTCTTTAAGTCTCACCTCTAACAAAGTCAAACTTATCTCTTCAGTGTAGTCTTTCTTTTCAGACTAGAGCAGAGGAATCTGTTTCTGCTTCCTGAAAAGTGACATGAAGATGATGGCTGAGCACCTCCACCTGTGAATGTTCTCCTCTTGTTTTCTCAAACACGAAACTGGGAATTAGATTTAGATTTATTTCTTTCACTGTTCGATCAGGTGCATTTTCAAACAGAGAGAAGTGGAAGTCTGTCCATAGACCAGGGCTCTTCTGTCTCGTTCTAACGGCTCCTTTGGCCATTTCTCCTGAGGCTGGAACAACGCACTATGCCGTGCATTAACATTATGAATCAATCAATCAATCAATCAAATTTTATTTATGAAGCGCTTTTCATACAAAAGATGCAACACAAAGTGCTTTACAGTTTGGTTAAAAACAATCCCGCCGGCCCATGTCCCCTCCCCCCGACCACCCAACAGACCCATCCCAAACCACAGACAAACGCACACACGCTCCCATGCACACTCTCTGACACACACACACACACGCACACACACACACACACACACACACACACACAAGTAAAACAGTAAAACAATGATGAGAGACTTGGCAGGGTTCGGATGCAACCAGTTGAAAAAGCGTCATCCTAGGAGCCGTCTGCACCAGGAGCAAAGAGCCGCCTGTAGCCACAGGGGACAACACAGGATCTAGAGGAGACCCGAAACCGAGGCCCCAGGCCCCCACCAGGTCCAAGAGTCCGACCCCCACAGCCACACCGACCACTGCTCCCAGTGCAGAGGGCTCCTCCAGAGGAAACACTGGGTACACTAAAAACAATATAATAACAATACAATATGTAAAACACAAAACTGTGAAACTAAAATGAAACTAAAATGAACTAACACACAATACATGAATAAAAGCAATAGCAATACAATAAATAATAGAGGATAAATAGAATATATAAAATGAAATAGTAAAAACTAATCAAAAGCTAATCTAAAAAGGTGCGTCTTGAGCCTGCTTTTAAAAATATGAACGTTCTCTGCGGCCCTGAGCTCCTCCGGCAGACTGTTCCAGAGACGGGGGCCGTAGTGCTGGAAAGATGCCTCACCGTGAGTGTGTGTCCTGACTTTGGGCATGGTTAGAAGTCTGCTGCCGGAGGAGCGCAGGGGCCGGGAAGGTTCATAGGATAAAAGCAAATCTGAAAGATAAGAAGGCCCAAGACCATTAAGACATTTAAAAACCATTAAAAGAACCTTAAAATCGATCCTGAAACACACGGGGAGCCAATGCAGCGATTTTAATACCGGTGTAATGTGGTCCCGCCCCCTGGTCTTAGTCAGGACACGTGCGGCCGAGTTTTGGAGTAATTGTAAACCTGAAATGTTCTTTTTGGGAAGACCAGAGAGCAGGGCATTACAGTAGTCAATGCGACTGGTTATAAAAGCATGCATCAGCGTCTCCGTGTTGCCCCGAGAGAGAATGGGGCGGACTCTGGCGATGTTCTTTAGATGATAAAAACCTATTTTTGTGATGTTCTTGATGTGAGGAATAAAAGTCAGCTCAGAGTCAAAGATTACGCCCAGGTTTCTCACTTGTGATGATGGATTAAAAGAGTGTGATTGGAGTTTTGATAAAAGTTTCTCTCTCTGGGCCTCAGGACCGATGACTAAAACCTCAGTTTTGTCCTGGTTTAGCTGGAGAAAGTTTTCTGCCATCCAGGATTTCAGGTCTAAAATGCAGTTAAAAAGAGCCTGGTGTCATCAGGAGACATGGAGATGTACAGCTGAGTATCATCTGCATAACTGTGGAAGCTAATTCCATGTCTCCTGACGACACCGCCAAGAGGGAGCATGTACAGGTTAAAAAGGACTGGACCTAAAATGGAACCCTGGGGCACACCACATGTGATTTTATGGACCTGAGAGGAGCAGGTATCCAAACTTACCATGAAGGATCTGTCTGTTAAATAAGAAGTGAACCATTTGTGGACAGCACCAGAGAGGCCGAGGTGTTTCAGGCGGGATAAAAGAATGGTGTGGTCTACTGTATCAAAGGCAGCGCTTAGATCCAGTAGAACCAACACGGTCACCTTTTTAGAATCATAACTTAGTCTAAAATCATTTAAAATCTTTAAAAGAGCAGTCTCTGTGCTGTGGTTCACCCTAAAACCTGATTGAAATTTCTCTAAAATTTGTTGCTGATCTAAGAAGGCATTGAGCTGGGTAAAAACAAGTTTTTCTAAAATTTTGCTTAAAAATGGCAGGTTGGATACCGGTCTGTAGTTGTTAAAATCATTAAAATCTAAATTGCTCTTCTTCAGAAGGGGTCTCACCACAGCCGCTTTGAAGGCTGCAGGAAAGACCCCAGTCTGCAGAGAGCAATTCATCAGGTTTAAAAGCTCCTCTCTAAAAGATTCATAAAATGACTTAAAAAATGGAGTGGGGACTGGATCTAAAAGACATGTGGTGGGCCTCACTGAGGAGAAAACTTTATCAAGCATCTCAGCATCAACCAGGACAAAACTGTCCAGTGTTTCCTCTGGTGAAGACAAACAATCAGATGTGTTAAAAACAGTTGTGCGGTTGGATAAAATGTTACATCTGATTGTGTTTATCTTCCCCGTGAAGTGGGCTGCAAAATCCTCACAGAGGGAGTCTGTGGGGGTTAAAAGAGACATGCTAAAATCAGGGTTTAAAATGGTGTCGATGGTTGAAAAAAGGACCTTTGGGTTATTTTTATTTTGGGTGATTAGCTTTGCAAAGTATTTGTTCTTATGATTTCTAATTGTGTTATTGTATGCTTTTTGATTGCTTTTATATAGTTCGTAGTTGATTGTTATTTTATCTTTCCTCCACCTTCGTTCTGCCACCCTGCACTCTCGTTTCATTTTCCGTACTTCCTCATTTCTCCATGGGGGTACAGATTTTGTTTTTATGATTTTTGTTTTTAAAGGAGCGACTTGATCCAATGCGGAACTAAGTCTACTGTTAAAATCATTTGCTATAAAATCACAGGGGGCAGGTAAAACCAAGTGGGGAGTGTTGTTTAGGATGTCGATAAAATTTGCAGCCACTTCAGGGGTTAGATGTCGCTTCCTCACGGTTCTCACAGAGGTCTCACGCTGAATAAAACCAGTGATGTTAAAAAACACACAGTAGTGGTCCGAGACAGCCAAGTCGACAACAGAGGACACATCCGCAGTCAGGCCATAGGTAATGACCAGGTCGAGGGTGCGTCCCCTGTTGTGTGTTGACTGTCTGACGTGTTGGGTAAAATCCATGTAATTAAGAACATCTAAGAAATCTAGGGTAAAATTGTCAGAGGGATTGTCAATGTGTATGTTAAAATCACCGGTTAAAGTTGTGTAACTGTGATAAAAACGCTGAGAATTCATGAATAAAAAGGCTGCACTTTTTTGGTGGCCTATAAATAATTACTGTTAAAATTTTGGGGTTGCTAAAAACAAGAGAGTGATACTCAAAACTTGAGTATTGGTTAAAAACAATAGGTTTGGTGGCCAGGGCGTTACTGCATATTGAGGCTGTGCCGCCACCTCTCTTTCCTTCTCTTGTTTTAAAAGCAAAGCTAAAATCGGGAGGGGAAGCCTCTGTAAGAACAGCCGGAGCATCCGGACCCAGCCACGTCTCAGTTAAAAACATACCATCCAGTTCGTGTTCTAAAATCAAATCGTTTACAGTAAAAGTCTTATTTAAAAGAGAGCGTACATTTAAAAGAGCAAACCTGATGGTAGATGGGGGGTCATCTTTGTTTGTGGTGAGGGGAGAAGAAGATGTGGAGGAGCAAAGGGCAACAGGGATGAGGGTGTTGAGGGACGGTTTCCGGAGTATGGACGGTCTGTAGGGGCGGGGTCTGGACAGAACTTAAATTCCTTGCTGGAGGGGGGGGGGCAGGGGCCGATGTTGGAGTCCAGAGGGGCAGGAATGATGTGGGATGGAGTGGTGGATTGTCAGAGGTGCGGGGGACGGGATTGGACTGAGTGGGTGATGTTTGAAATCAAGTACCGGGTGCCGAGTTTATTGATATGGAGTCCATCAAGATCCTTTATTCATCCCACACTGGGGAAATGTCACATGTTAGCAGCATGAGGTTGTGAATGCGGTTCTATATTGCACCTTCTGATATTAGTCAAATTATTATTGCACAGATGAGAAAAGGAACGTGACAGTGACAACACATCACTGAGAAGTGCACACGACCAATATTCTGACCTGTGTAAAGCCTGGTGTATAGTGGCGTGGCGCGGAGCTTACAGCGGTGACGTGACGTCACTTGACAAACGCAAGGATCACAGCCACCACTGCTCCCTCGAAAATGAATAACTATGTAGCCGGCTCCGCAGAGAAGCTCCTGTGATTGGTCCGTGTGTGTGTGTGTGTTTTGGACGGAAGCATGGAGTGGCTGCAGGGAACATGGACGAGGCTTTTCGGACCAGATAGCTTCATGCTTCGAAGGAAAAGCAGTTTGGGTTCATGGCCCAGAGCCTGATATAAGCAGAGACTGTGGACTGTTCAGTTCTGTTGCATATCTAACATTTATCGAACTTATAAACTGTACAGTCGTTTCTTTTGCACTGTTCCTGTCTTTGTTTGAATCTGCACTCGTAGCTTATCGCGTCTGTCTCCTTCACTTGTAAATAGTAGTTTGGTCTCAGATATTTACCACTTATTTAGCTGTTTGTGCTAAATACACTTTAATAATAACTATGTTTCCAACAATAACGGTGTCGTTATTCACAACATCCCAGTTAAATGTGTTATGAGATTCCATAGAACTGTCACATGAACCTACGCCTAGAAACACATTTAATGATCTGTTTTTGTTCTGAAGAGGAGAAACTAGCAGCGTAAATGGAACCGCTTTGGTTTCCCAGGCAACTCCTGTGAGATCACCATCATGTGGTTGGTTGTGGGATTACAACATTCTCTTCAAAACTACGCAGTTGTACGCTTGAGTGTACGAGCAACTGTGGCTGCGTAGGTCCAGCGCAACCGCCAACGTAACCAGACTACAGTATACACAGGCCTGAAAAATCTTTCATGTTGCAACATGTTCTGTACAATCTCTCTCAATCTCAGGAAGTACGACCACATTAGTCCAGTTCTCAGGTCTCTGCACTGGCTTCCTGTGGCTCAGAGAATAGACTTTAAAACAGCTTTGCTTGTGTACAAGTCTCTCCATAGCCTCAAACCAAAATATATTAGTGACATGTTAGTCCCATATGAACCAGCCCGGACTCTGAGGAGCACAGGGACTGGACTCCTGTTAGTGCCCAGAGTCAGAACTAAACATGGGGAGGTTGCTTTTCAGATTCATGCTGCTGAAATCTGGAACAGTCTTCCTGAAGATGTGAGACAGGCCTCCTCTCTGACAATGTTTAAAACCAGGTTAATGACAGTTCTGTTTAACTGTGCATACAACTGAGGGATTTTATATTTTTATCTTTCTTTTTAATTTACTGTGATTATTTATGATTTTAATGCTTTCTTGTATAATCACTTATGAATTTTTTTTTTTTATGCTTTCTTGTTAGGGCGACAGTAGCTCAGTTGGTAGAGCATTGGCCTTAAGGCCAGAAGGTCGTGGGTTCCATTCCCACCTCTGCACCTTCTCCATCGACTCCCTCAGATGACTGCTGTCGTTGTGTCCTTGGGCAAGACACTTAACCCCACATTGCCCAAAAGCCCCCACTGAAAGATCAAGGCTATGCTCACACTCAGAGAGCAGCCGTCCTCCTGTGGACTCACCACCTGCAGAGGGTCAGTGAGGGGCTGGTGCTATGAGACGGGTGGCATCTCTGATTGCCACCCCCCTGACCCAGAAATGGATTAAAGGGTAGAAAATGAATGGATGGATGCTTTCTTGTTTTGTTCAGCACTTTGAATTGCCTTGTGTATGAATTGTGCTATATAAATAAACTTGCCTTGCCTTGCCTTGTTTCATGGAGGAATACTCACCTACAACTACAGTCATTCTGCAAAAGACAACCTTATTCTTATATTACACTGCAAAAAATTATAAAATATGAGGTAATAATTTCAAGCAAAAAAATCAAACAAATGGGACAAAGCCATTTAGGCTTATTTCAAAAACATGCATTTATTTTTGCATTTACTTTCTCATTCCAGGGGACACATTTCTTGTATCTTTTTTAAGTTATTTCCTGGTCCCAATGGCATATCTTGTTTTAAGGCAAGTCAAAATGACTTATTTTTCATCACTTCCTGCAGTGTATGTGAGGCATGCATTCCCATCACTTCAAAAACAAGTATTTAAGTCCTTTGCAAAGGAAATTGCAATCACAGGCATTTTCTTGTTCAGACCATGTATTGCACTAAATCAGGGCTCTCAAACTCAATTTATCTGAGGGCCGCGTTAAGGCTTATGTTTATCACATGTTTTTTGTGTGTTCGAGATATATAAACATCCGAGAAAAGTGATCTATGCACAGAAATCTTTTCTCCTTCTTTAATATCAACAATAACGAAAGTTTGGGCACAGAACAGAGACCAAACAAGAAGTGTTTTAGTAAAAGTGTAAAGTTTTAGAGTTCTTTGTTTGTATCCTTGACTTGTTTTAATGATGAAGGTATTTTGACCAAGTTATTACTTTTATTGAAAATGAGTTTGAAATATTTGTGTTTATTTCTATGATCAAAATGAGTTCAGATCCTTGGATTGAAACAAAACCGCACAAAAATCAATGAGGCTTTGTATTGTAGACTGGGTTCAATAAAGTTTACTGTGACTTAATGTTAATGGTAGTATAAATGTCATGGTTGTTTTCTCCTCCTGCAGACTGCCAGCTGCAGCAGTAGCAGTGCTCCGGAGCGGCAGGCTGAGGGAGCGCCTCCTGCAGTCCCTCTTCATGGACCAGACATTTTGGGAGAGCCGAGGGGGACGAGCGGGCATCGACTCCCTCATTGAGGTGCTGGAGAGACGAGCCAAAGCCCTGCTGAGCTACATGCACACACACGGCCTCACACCGACCCCGATGTAAGCCCTGGCCCCTGACTGACCCCCGGCTCTCTGAAGCATGTGTTATTTACTGTGCAGAATACATGATGTTCACTCATGGTTCACGTTAAAACACAGAAGGTAATGCAGCCTTTAGAACTGGTTTTGGTCTGTTCTAAAACTCAGAATCAAACTGTGCCTGTCCTTCTGATTAGTAATAAATGTTCAAGAAAAAAAGTAAGTCATCTTTCTAGCGTATTTCACAGATAAAGGTCACACAAAGCGCTTTACAAAGTTGGGGTACTTTGTAAGTTGGAGTGTTGATCCAGTCATCACAGGCCATGAATACAATCACATTCACAAGTATTTCGGCTGATGATGATGTTGCTAGGCACGTCTCGAGTTTGCGCATGAGATGTAGTTTGATCTGCGAGGTCCAGGCGCGTGCTGTGATTGGTCCGTTCTATGGAAAGCACTGGCATAATCTCTTGTTATGGAAGCATGGGCTGACGTCAAGATTTGTCTCCATATATTTCATCTTCCTCCAAATGGGCGTTGCCTGGAGGACTAAAGGGGACAGGCGGGGAGGGGTGAATGTTGGGCGGGTCTAGGCTGTGATTGGCCCTTGACAATAAAAGCAACAGTGACTAAAACTACAATATTCAACAATAACGCTATTAACACTACACAATTATCAATAATACAAACAGCTATGCTAATAAAAACTTACTAATCGCAGACCTGACAATCAATGAAAATACTCTCTGCTATTCCTTCCTACCTTCGCTAGGGGGGCGTGAACGAGAGTGGGCCGCAACTGACGTCAGCCTTCCCTGCAGACGTCAGGTATCACTGCTGCGCCAATGTTTGCGCCAGATTCAAAATTCAAATGTAGTAAATACAGGTCGCCTGCAGATGGCGCCTCACAGACGGTTTTAAGGAAGAAAGTTGATCGTTCAACTAATTTTCACTAAATTGACAAAATTATGACCAGGATATGTAGACAACACTATTGGACACTCATTTATACGGTTTATCAGCAAAAAGAAGTGGATTTGAGGGTGAGTTGTCCTTTAAATTAGATTTTTGTACACCCTTTAATCACATCAGTGTTATGTCGAAGGCTTTAACAAGCTGTCGATTCGCCAACACAGATCACAGAATCAAACAGTTCAAACAAAAGAAATGCAATGATAAAAACACATCGAGCAATTGGTCCATAAGAGGAAGATGTCCATAAATGTTGATGAAGTCCATTAATGTTGTTGAATAGTCCTGGATCATCACCACTCCATATATATCCAATCTTTGGGCTGCTGCACTAACTGACCACCACAATATTAAAATTCCAATAAAATATATATATGGATTTCTATCATTTATTATTTAATGAAATTGCTCAATTGAATTTAACATTTCAATGGCCCTACAACAGCTTACATGACAGAGGTCACATTTCTTCAATTCTATTGTTTTTATTACTAAATCTCTGACCTTTTTTGGACTTTATGCCATACTGTGGAAGAGTACAACCAAAAGAACACAGGCGGAAGTGCATGTCAGGTTTATGGACATGCAAGCCAGCACACAAGTGTTTTACCCTTATTCAAGTGCAATAGACATTTCTACAACTGCACGCTGGGGCTTTAAAGGTGCAATGAGGAGGAAGTGAACGAGCGCATTGACAATCCGACACAGACTTTAAGTTTTTAAATAAATGTGTCTGAATGAAGATGAAAGAATGTCCTCAAGCCAAACTAATGTATACTGTTTCTGTGTATGACGTTTGACTGACAACAACAATCTAGTAAAATGTTGTTCTGTGCACTGTGAGTCATTCTTTTTGACAACCTCCATTTTCTCTTTCCTAGATAGAAAGATTGAAAGAGCGAGAGAATGAAACTGCCCATTGAATGGCTAGAGTCAGAGAATAAAGCATTTATGTGTATATGTGATGTTTATTTAGACAGCCTTTTCACGAACTTAGGTTGTTTTATGATGTCTTTGAAGTTTTTTTTATTCACTTCACTCACAATTATGAAAAATGCTTTTCAACTGAAATTCAAACCTATTGTTTATTTTCATGTATTAATTTATTTCATACGGACAAGTGTGCACAATCAGCATGTGAAACACTACAACATCTATAGCCAAGGCTAATTTGCAATGTCCGTCTCCATAAACCCGGTGAAACATGGACATGGGGAGAACATGCAAACTCCACACAGAAAGGCCCTGAAAATGAAAATTGAACATACTGTAGGACCTTCTTGCTGTGAAGCACAATTCTAACCACTGTCCCGCCTGTTTGAATTTGTTTTCTGTTGAGGTGAGACCTTTGAAGTGTGCAACACAAGACGTATCAGTGCAACATCTGAGTCTGGAGCTATCATCTGCGAGGTGAATGTTGACAACGAGGCTAAAAGTTATATTTCAGTTTAAAGTCTATGCTCAAGTTTTAAACAGGCTATTTTGCTTCAGCAACAACCACACTGGGGGTTGTAGTCACCACCACGCAGCTATTACTTGTGTCTACAACCTTACTATAGTATAGCTCCTTTTAGGGCTGGGCAATAAATGAATTTAGGCTTTAATAATCGGCTTTTGAAATAATAAAATTTGTGAAAAATGTGAAAATTGTGAAATCGCATGAAGGATATTGTGAGGGTTCCAGCAGCACATGAATTATACTTGCAATATCAGCACAGTCTGTACAAGGCTTTTATAACACGTATTCTGGGGAAACAAATTAAATATAGTTTTGAAACTTGAATATTGAGCGGAAAGATCAAAACATATTTTTAAGGGCAAAGTCTGTCTTTGGTGACTTTAATGAAAATCGATTAAAAATCTGAATCATCCAAAGCCTGAAGTAAACTCCAGATTTTACTTTTTGGCCATATTGCCCAACCCCTTGCTGGTTCCAAACCTCCACAACCAGAGCAGAGCGGCCCCTGGTCCACGGCGATACATATGAAGTGGTAAAAGCAGCACTGCTCAGAGTGTTGATATACATTCACTTTCATGCCATGTTTGCCTCTTCCCTTCATCACACACAGATTAATAATTTAGTCCAACATGGCAGAAGCAGCGCAGAAGCCTCCTGATGCCTGTGATGCGGTTGTTGACGTCTCGACAGGCAAACCGCTCCTCGTCCTTTGACTGCGAGGCTGTGCAGATGTGGGGCCCATTTCTCATTCCCTCTTGTGCTGTACGACCGAAACTCCAAATCTAAAAGGACTGAGCTTGTAATGACAACATCCAGCAACAGATGTTCAGACGTGTGTTTTAGAGGCTGATGGATCATGACAGAGAAATGGGAAACCCGAGGGAAAACAGGTTTTTGAACACAGTTTATATGATATGGTTTCGAAGATGAAAACTGTAGATGTTGCAAACGTCAACACACACACAGTAAGACAGTGAGGGAGAGGGATTTCTATTTTTTTAGGGAAGAGCAGGCGACCAGGTGAGAGCAGGGGACCAGTGTAGGAGCAGGGGGTTAGGGGAGAACAGGGGAAAGAACAGAGCAGGGGCCCAGTCAAAGTCCAGACCCACTGAGACCAGGAAAAAAGTACAGAAATATTTGTTTATATAGCGCCTTTCACAGACAGACTTTGGATGGAGAGAAGTCACCTACAGGTAATGAATGCAGTGCATGTTTTTAGCTGTAGGGGGATCCTGCGAAGACACAGGGAGAAACTCTTCACAGAAAGGCCTTTGGAGGTGGCGTCGAACCCAGGACCTTCATGCAGTGAACTACTTCTCCACTAGTTCATATACTGTATCTGTCCCAAAACATGACAATACAGTTTAGAAATGACACCTTTCAATACACATGAACCAACTCTAACAAGGGGCATGGCTGTACCCCACATGTGTGATTTCATAGTAGTTCTTAATTGTAAATAAAAAGAAAAACAAAAAAACAATTGTTGTTATTTAAAATGGACGTAACATGTCACCAAAGGAAAGACTGCCTTTCTCACATGATGAGACATTGAGAGTGCTAAAATTCACAAACAAAATTATTTTCCATCAATAATAATGCTCATAACAGAATATAATGTTAAATATAATGATAAAGACAGCTCACATAGCAATTTGAGACCATTATTGAGTCCATTTTTGTCTGTCATTTGGGATTGGGAATTATACTCAACATTCTTCTAATCTCGTCAACTTGGATACTGTTCAATAGAGCACAAACATGAGAAGAAAAAAAATGGGAACAGTTCTTTAACATTCTCAGGCAAGATTGTGTAACTTCAGTACACAATATCTGTGTACTGAATATTTGTTGAAAATATATCTTGAAAATTATCTGTGCTCTTTAGGGATGCACTGATACCGATGCTGGCTTCGGGTATCAGAACAATACCATAGGCTTGTATTCGTCCTCCACTAATCTAATAAAATATGTACAAAAATTCTGCATTAAAATCTGGTCCAAAAAATTGGATTATAAAGGGCCACAGTTCCCTGGACCCCGCTGTCCTCACCAAGGCTGGGTCTTGCCCCATATGCCTCTCCCAGGACCGGGCCACAGTCTCCAGCAGATGCTCGCTAAGCCCCGGGTCACCACCGGGCGCCAGCGGGGGACAGCCGGCACATCCCTGCCGCGATACACCTCCTGGGCTTAAGGCCCGTGCACACGCTCTGTCATAGTGCGCCCTTGTCCAGGCTACATCGCCGGTGTCGCTCTCCCCGCTGTCCTCAGTCCCCCGTTGGCTCTGCCTGGCAGCCCACCTCAGCCGATACTCCATGTCTTTTTTTTTCTTCTGTCCCGTTCTCTGCGTCCTACACCCATATATGCACCGTTCCACACAGGTGCGCTGATCGCAGTTCCGTGCATGGGAGGGGCCATGACACAAGTAGTTAAAACTTTAAAATACAATTAAAAGCATAAAACTATAACAAAACTGTGAAAATGTGAGAATTAGGGCTGTCAAACGATAATTTTTTTTAATCGAGTTAATTACAGCTTAAAAATGTATTAATCATAATTAATCGCATTTCAAGCTATTGGCAAAATTATGCCAT